CAATTCTGACACATGTCCAACAATATGTCGCACGCAGTAGAATCTGACCCCAAGATGTTCCAGAAATCTGGCGAGATCTCGTCTGGGCCCGCGGCCTTCCCTTTCTTGAGTTTTTGCAGTACTGCCTTCAACTCACTGGTAGTAAAAGGAGAAGTGTCCACAGGAAGTGCGCCACCCAAAGGTGTATCATGATCTGGGCATGTGTCCCGAAATTTGTACTCCCAATGCTCGTTCTCAAAATAGTCCGCTATCACGTCAGCTCGTTCTTCCGTGCCGGCTGGAGTGCCATCAGGGCGCTGTATAATAGCATGTGTTTTCTCTGGCTTCCGCAAGTGGCGAACAGCATCCCAATTCCCACTCCTAGTAGGATCGTGTAACCATGATGCTCGGTCCTTCATTCCAGATTTTCCTATCAAGATGCGAAGTCGTTTCTCATTATCGTGATCCCCAGCTCGCCGGTAAGCGCCGCGTTCAGCAATCAAGTCGAGCGCACCCTGGCTCGCCCATGGGCGCCTCGCTGCAGATCGCGAAACCGGCAAGACAGCTGCTGCTTCAGCAAAGGCACGTTGTAGATCGGCTGCTGCGGTGTCCAAATTGTTGGCGGCTTCCTGCGGTAGCATTGCGTCTACAAATGCGTTCGAAAATCTGCGTTGTGTTTCCAAGTCGCGTAAAGCCTGTACGTCCACTCTCTGCTTAGGTTGTTTCTGCTGCGTTTCGAACTCTATGTGCATGTCCGCAACCAAAAAGAAATGCCGACTATTTAATGCGTCTGCGCGGCTGCTCCAACAGTCCGTGATGGTGTCGATCATTGTTTGATGGCATAATACGTGATCTATATGAGAGAATGTTGACGTCGTAATGTTGTTGTCCATTGGATTGACTCCCAAGTTCCGGCACGTGACTTTCATCGAATCGAGGCGGTCAAAGAAAGTGTTCGCAATGGCGAGGTCGTAAGCCACGCAAGTTTCCAAGAGCAGTTGCCGGTTAGATAACTGTGCACTGGCACTCCCATTGATAGCTCCATTGCGATGGGGAGCCCCAGGGAGGTTCTTGAACGCATGAGCCCCAATCATATCCTCTTCTCCCGGCCCTTGCCGTAGAAGTTGCGCGTTGAAGTCCCCAAAAGCCATGGTCGTACTGCGCGTAGTCGTAGCCTGGATGAGGTCCTGCAGCTCGTAGTGGAAGGCTTGGCGCTTCTCGTAGTCCAGGCCGCTCTGAGGGGCATATGCGGTTATCAAGGTCAGCATCCCTCCTCGAACCTTTATTCAGAGTGCGGCCAATCTGTCTGAGCAGGCGAGCAGGCCTTGAAGGCGACAGTGGACTTGATGATTTTTGGGTTCACCAGGAAGCCAACCCCTGCGTAGGTGCGAGTTTCAACATCCAAGCTGCCAGATAAGACGATCTTGAAATCGTTTTTCATGTAGTACTCCGCCCCGTGCAAATGTGTCTCCTGGATGCATAAAACGTGTATGTCGTGATACAACATGCCCTGGATAAGCTCGTCGAGTTTGATGATTGAATCACCTCGGAGGCCTTCAACATTCCAGGTGCCGATGCGGTTGATGTGGCGCCGAATGCGCAACTGTCTCTGCGTGTTCCATCCGAGAGGTTTTTGAGGAGAATGGGAGGAAGAAGTTCGTGGAGGGTCAGTGTTGGTAGATTCGCCAACCTCGGCGTGTCTTCCAAGGCGGGGCGATGGAATCGAGGAAGCCACAAGGGGGGCGCAGCATTGCTCGAAGATGTAGTCGGACACTGCTTGTCTATGGTGTCTCGGTCCGCGATGGTATCTTTGCCCATCCTGGCCAGACCACGAAAAGTAGATACAGGGCCGAGCTCGGGAACTGCATCGTCGTCGATATTGATAGAATTTGAGCGTTCTCGCATTGAACCAGAACTGTACGCATCGTAAATACGCTCCAAAGATACATTGTCGCCCTCGGTGCTGCCGTCGTCAACGTTCATGTGCACGCGTGCTGACGGGGCTGGTCCGTGGGAAGGTAACGAAGAAGATCTTGGACGCACGGGTAGCGTGGGTGAAACTGTCGGGGGGTAGGTAGCTTTGCCCTCTCCCAGAGAAGCCGGGGCGGAGTCGGATAAGAGAGTCGGTGATGCAAAAGTAGGGTCAACGTTCGAAACTGCATCGATGTCAAAAATTGTCGTGTGCTGGACGCGGACATCACGAAATATAGAAACATGCTTTCCCGAATCGGCTCCGGCACTGGGCAGACAAGTCCGTGACGTGGAAGATGTAGCCAGTGCCTGCCGTGCGTCCTATTTTGACGCTGTGCCTTTGGACGCTCCTTTTGCTCCGCCTTTTTGCCCCTGAGCTGCTCGGTGAATGATGTCATTGCATTTGGTTGTCAATTCTGCAAGTTTGGGGTGGTTTTGCAGATCGCCCCAAGCCTGCCAAAAATCTTCCCACGCCGTCTCGAATGCCATGTTGGGTACAGTCACCGTCAAAGCCAACTGCCCTCCAACTTCTAGTGTGTAAGGCGCTTCCTCTGACACCCTGATGGTGTATGGATTCTGCAGGTCGTTTTTGAGCAAGTGTTTCACCCCAAAGCAATAGTTACGGGCCGCACGGTCGGCTGGTTCTCTGTTTTGGGTTGCCCAAATCAGTTTACTCCCACGCTGAAGGCCACCGCTGCGTAGAAGAGCGACCGCCGTATCTCGGTCGAGCATGCTGTCAAACTCGGCACATGCAATATTTTTAAATTCCCCATTCGCGTAAATATCATTCGAGATTGGGGCTTGCATTGAAGATAACTGCTCTCTGATAAATGTGCATGCCGTGGCGATGGAGTCAACATTGACAAGGTTGCCAATGACCGCTGTGATAGCACGTTTGCCATGGTAGTGGTAAGCGTTTGCCGTACCTTGCGAAGCTGCTTGAGATGTTCCAGCATATGATCCCGGTGTAGTTGCCAAGCTTGCCATCTCTTTCCGCATCTCCTCTATAGCGTTATCCATGTTAGTAGTGCGTATTTGCAAATATTCAAAATCATTGTTTACCGTATCTTGCAACTCCCCGAAGTCTTTGCGCAAAGGGTCCACAGCCTTCCGCAAGTCGTCCTGCGAGACACCGTGCTGCTTGATCGCTCGGATGTCGTGTTTGATAGGGTCCAAATGCTTGTTGAGAATGGCCTCGAAGGTCGCCGCCGTAAGTCCAGCGTCCGACGCTGCCATGAGGCTCCTTTGGAATTCATGCTAGCGTGCATGTGCTTGAGCCTCTGCCCCGCCAGCCGGAGGTTGATGTGAATCAGCTGCTGCTCGAGATGATTATGCCAGTGCTGGGGCTTCCATCTCCATACCGTCCATCTCGTTCAGCGGGCTCCTGACGCGAGCAGTTTTAGCTTTAGGTGCTGTAGCTGGTGGAGACGATGGAGAAGCGATGTCGCGCGTCTCTGCAGCGAAGAGCTGTCGCACAGGGGTACCTGGCATGCGCCCACCCGAAGAAGACATCGCAGCCCACAGGGGTGGTGTTAGGGAAGAGCGGATTGTATAAAGACTGCCCCGGACACGGGTGTAATCTCGAATCAAGGTGATGAGTGAGAAAATGTGAGTATGGTACTCGGAGTTGGTATGGTACTTGGAATGAGACTTGGATTAATCCTGGCATGTCCCCCTGTCAATTAGCTCTGGGGCAGCCACTATGTGCTCAGACAGCTCGAGCTTGAGGTCCAGATCAGTTCGGTCAGGGTTCGGATGCAAAGGAGGACTCGATCCACGACGCTATAGAGCACAATCGCGGCATGGCACATCGCAATTCAGCACGGCGCAGCACAGCACAGCCCTCGGCGCGGTACATCAAGATCGATACACTCAGCATTGCAAATTGGCACGTTCCCTGGCACGTTCCGTGGCGCGTCCTGTGGCGAGTCTCCCTGGCACGTCGCGTGGCGCGTCCCCTGGCACGTCGCGTGGCACGTCCTTTGGCACGTTCCGTAGCGCGACCCCTTGGCACGTCCCGCGGTGCGACCCCATAGCACGACCCACGTCGCCTGGCACGTCCCTTGGGACGTTCCGCGGCGCGTCCTCCTGGCATGTCCCCCTGTCCATTAGCTCTGGGGCAGCTACTATGTGCTCAGGCAGCTCGAGCGTAAGGTCCAGATCAGTTCGGTCAGGACTCGGATGCAAAGGAGGACTCAATCCACGACGCTATAGAGCAAAATCGCGGCATGGCACATCGCAATTCAGTACGGTGCAGCACAGCACAGCCCTCGGCAGGGTACATCAAGATCGATAGACTCAGCATTGCATTTGCCCGTCGCCCAATCAGGTGTCTTTGAAAACGCTGCCATGCGTTACATTTCTATATTCCTTTCCGGGTTCGTGGGTCGATCATGTTGATGGTGGGAGCTGACCCCAGCCGTGGCGACGATGAACACCTCTCGAAGCGGCCACAAAAGCTCACACGACGACCTCGACGTCGTCGTCGTCGTCATCGTCGTCGTTGTCGTCGTCGTGGTCGTCGAGAACGTCGTCGATATCGTCGTCGTCGTCGCCGTCGTCGTCGTCGTCGTGGTCGTCGTCCTCGTCCTCGTCCTCGTCGTCGTCCTCGTCGTCCTCCTCCTCGTCGACGTCGTCCTCCTCCTCCTCCTCCTCCTCCTCCTCTTCCTCCTCCTCCTACTACTCGTCGTCGTCGTCGCGGAGTCGTATGCGCTGTCGCCTTAGCGCCGCGCATAGTCGTTGTATAAATCGAAGAACTTCACGGATTGAGGCCGGTTCCTTTTCAACATGTGCCTCTCGCCTTAGCACCGCGCGTTCGTCTGAAAACATTGCAAGGGCTCCCCCCGTCCTCCCACCCTAGCGCCCTCCTAAAAGGTCACGAGACATCCCCAGGAGATCTCCGACATTTCCAGTAAGGGCCCAAGTGCTCAAGTGCCCCCACGAGAACCGAAAGAAACATTCGAAACTCGATCTGCCCGTGCCACGCCCAAGACGACTTCAACCTGGCGCATTCACAGTCGCCAGACTCCATCAAACTCCCAGGCAGCGGCTGGTGATGCGCCAGCGAAGTTCTAGATAACATCTACGTTTATGAAATTCAAAATGTTGCTGAGCCACATGGGCTGCTTCAGGTTGAACGGATACTGCTGCGGAAGCGCCGAGCTCAAGCGCCCAGCTCGTAGATCGCGTAGTCTGTCATCCACTTGTTCCTGTCGCACGACGAGGTGAGCTTGCAGCCTCCGGAGCTGCTCGCGTAGCTGAAGTACGCGCAGCCCGACTGAGCCAAGCAGGCGACCCCGCAGGCCTGAAGGTCCGCTGCGGTGGGAAATGCCAGCGGAGATCCTTTGCACATCCCGACCGCATTCCACAGCGTGTAGGCCAGCGGGGTGGGCGCAGGGGTCGGGACCCCTGGCGCGAAGGTGGGCGCAAGGGTCAACGCCAAGTGGTAGATTGTGAAGTCCGTATCGAACGAGTTGATGCTGCCACAGGTGTCACTCAGCTTGCACTCCGTCGCGGAGTAGCTGAAGAACATGCAACCACTCGACTGCGCGCACAGGCTACCGCACTGCTCGACGGTCAGTCCGGAATCGTCCGTCGTGCCAGAGCCCTTGCACTTTCCTGTGTCGTAGATCCCATACGTCACCGGGGTGGGCGCAGGTGTCGGGACCCCTGGCGCGAAGGTGGGCGCCAGGGTCAACGCCAAGTGGTAGATTGTGAAGTCCGTATCGAACGAGTTGATGCTGCCACAGGTGTCACTCAGCTTGCACTCCGTCGCGGAGTAGCTGAAGAACATGCAACCACTCGACTGCGCGCACAGGCTACCGCACTGCTCGACGGTCAGTCCGGAATCGTCCGTCGTTCCAGAGCCCTTGCACTTTCCTGTGTCGTAGATCCCATACGTCACCGGGGTGGGCGCAGGTGTCGGGACCCCTGGCGCGAAGGTGGGCGCCAGTGTCAACGCCAAGTGGTAGATTGTGAAGTCCGTATCGAACGAGTTGATGCTGCCACAGGTGTCACTCAGCTTGCACTCCGTCGCGGAGTAGCTGAAGAACATGCAACCACTCGACTGCGCGCACAGGCTACCGCACTGCTCGACGGTCAGTCCGGAATCGTCCGTCGTGCCAGAGCCCTTGCACTTTCCTGTGTCGTAGATCCCATACGTCACCGGGGTGGGCGCAGGTGTCGGGACCCCTGGCGCGAAGGTGGGCGCCAGGGTCAACGCCAAGTGGTAGATTGTGAAGTCCGTATCGAACGAGTTGATGCTGCCACAGGTGTCACTCAGCTTGCACTCCGTCGCGGAGTAGCTGAAGAACATGCAACCACTCGACTGCGCGCACAGGCTACCGCACTGCTCGACGGTCAGTGAATCGTCCGTCGTGCCAGAGCCCTTGCACTTTCCTGTGTCGTAGATCCCATACGTCACCGGGGTGGGCGCAGGTGTCGGGACCCCTGGCGCGAAGGTGGGCGCCAGGGTCAACGCCAAGTGGTAGATTGTGAAGTCCGTATCGAACGAGTTGATGCTGCCACAGGTGTCACTCAGCTTGCACTCCGTCGCGGAGTAGCTGAAGAACATGCAACCACTCGACTGCGCGCACAGGCTACCGCACTGCTCGACGGTCAGTCCGGAATCGTCCGTCGTGCCAGAGCCCTTGCACTTTCCTGTGTCGTAGATCCCATACGTCACCGGGGTGGGCGCTGGTGTTGGGACCCCTGGCGCGAAGGTGGGCGCCATGGTCAACGCCAAGTGGTAGATTGTGAAGTCCGTTAGGTATGGGTTCACGTCGGCACAGCTAGGATGCACATGGCATTCCGTCGCGGAGTGGCTGAAGAACATGCAGCCGTTCGACTGCCCGCACAAACTGCCGCATTCCGCGACGGTCATCCCAGTAATGTGCGACGTCGCGACACCCTTGCACTTTCCAGTAGCGTAGATGCCCCATGTCAGTGGCGTTGGTGCCAAAGTTGGAGCCGGGGTTGCGCCAATCTGGTACACGCTGTAGCTCGGGTCTGCACCGACGTCGTCACAGTCCTGAGAAAGCTTACAGTCCCCAGAACCAGCAGAATAGCTCAAGAAGAGGCAACCCCCTTGTGCGTCGCACAGGATGGCACATTCCTCGAGGCTGCCCGCCGTGGTCGTGGTCCCGGTCCCTTTGCACTTTCCTACACTGTAGATCATGGCGTAGACGGGTTCAGCCGTTGGCGCTGGCGTTGGTGCTGTCGTCGGAGGCGGTGCTGGCGTAGGTGCTGGCGTAGGTGGTGCTGGCGTAGGTGCTGGCGTAGGTGCTGACGTCTGAAGCGGTGCTGGCGTAGGTGCTGGTGTAGGTGCTGGCGCAGGTGCTGGCGTAGGTGCTGGCGCAGGTGCTGGCGTAGGTGCTGGCATAGGTGCTGGCGTAGGTGTTGACGTAGGTGCTGACGTAGGTGCTGACGTAGGTGATGACGTAGGTGGTGCTGGCGTAGGTGCTGACGTAGGTGCTGACGTAGGTACTGGCGTAGGTGATGACGTAGGTGCTGGCGTAAGTGCTGGCGTAGGTGCTGGCGTAGCTGCTACAGTCGGCTGCGGCGCTGGAGTCGGTGGCGCTGGAGTCGGCGCTGCAGACGGCGGAATGCACGCAGAGCAGCCGTTGCAAGCGCCCCAGTCGCACTGGGACGGGTCCGAATCTGTATCGCACCAAGCCCTGCACAACGGCGGCGGCGTCGGCGCTGGCGGTGATGTCGGCGCCAGCGTCGGAGCCGGCGTCGGAGCAAAAGTTGGGGCTGGCGTCGGAGGCGGCGAGTATGTCGGAGGCGGCGTTGGTGGCTGATCCCAGCACTGGTTGCACTCTGCGCAGATCTCAGCTGCTGTGTAGTCGACTCCATCAAAAGTATTCGTGTCGTCATCGCAATAGCTATGGCTCCCGCCAATAGTCTCACCGTCCGGGCCTGGCCAGAACTCTCCATACGTGGTGCATCCGTCGGGCTCATCAGTGTAATAGCCGTTTACGAAGAGGTCCGCATATGCTCCAACGCAGAATGGCAAATTCGGAGTGGGCGCTGGCGTTGGTGGCGGAGGCGGCGTTGGTGGCTGATCCCAGCACTGGTTGCACTCTGCGCAGATCTCAGCTGCTGTGTAGTCGACTCCATCAAAAGTATTCGTGTCGTCATCGCAATAAGAATAGCTCCCGCCAATAGTCTCACCGTCCGGGCCTGGCCAGAACTCTCCATACGTGGTGCATCCGTCGGGCTCATCAGTGTAATAGGCGTTTACGAAGAGGTCCGCATATGCTCCAACGCAGAATGGCAAATTCGGAGTGGGCGCTGGCGTTGGTGGCGGAGCCGGCGTTGGTGGCTGATCCCAGCACTGGTTGCACTCTGAGCAGATCTGATCTGCTGTGTATTCGACTCCATCAAAAGTATTCGTGTCGTCATCGCAATAGCTATGGCTCCCGCCAATAACATTCTCACCGTTCGGGTTTGGCCAGAACTCTCCATACGTGGCGCATCCGTCGGGCTCATCAGCGTAATAGGCGTTTACGAAGAGGTCCGCATATGCTCCAACGCAGGGTGGCAAGTTCGGAGTGGGCGCTGGAGACGGCGGTGGAGTGGGAGCTGGAGTCGGCTCTGCAGTTGGCACTGGAGTCGGCGCGACTGTCGGCACGGTTGGAGCTGGAGTCATTGGTGGAGTCGGAGATGGAGTCACAGGTGGAGTCGGAGGTGGGGCTGGCGTCGGACTGCATTGGACCGTTGGCACCGGATCAAACCAAGTGTCACCAGCGCAGTTGCACCCAGAGCAGTCCCAGCCAGCATTTTCCCTCTGCGCACAAGTTTGTCCGTACTTTTCCCAATACGTGTCACAAGTGTTGCCGACAATCGACATCGTACACCCCGTCGGCGTTGGCGCCGGGACGTTGTTGCCGACGCAGGTGCCGCTTATGCACACACCCTGGCCCGACTCGCAAGGTGTTCCGTCGTCAAGCGTGTTCAGCACCCCGTCTTGCCCAATACTTCCCGTGTACCCCCACATGGGTGTACAGCCAGTCCCTTCGAGGTCGCAGTTGATCTTGCAGTCGTTGTTCGCGTGCAGGCCGCAGAAGTCGTTCATTATAAAATTGGAGGCGAAATAAAACCCTCCCGTGCACCAGACGCGCTCGCACGATCCCCGGTCGCAGTAGCCGGTGGCGCCAGTCCAGACGCTGCACGTTTCCTTGCTGGACTTGAAGGTGCCGTCGCAGTTGCAGCAGTCGGCACCGACGGGCGCAGACGGGGTGCAGTCCTTCCCCGAGTCGAGGACGCAATTATTGCAGAAGCTGCACGACAGGGCACCCCCCGCGCACTCGCACTCCTCCCCGTCCTCCACGAGCTCGTTCCCGCACACAGCGTCGTAGTACGTGAGGGCATCGCAGCCCGAATCGACACGAGCTGAGACAACGGGACAAATGTCGTCCTTGGTAGATTCCGTGTTGAACTGGTAGATGCCCTCATACCTGCCATCTCCGTAATCCATGATTCCGCCCGTCGTACCCTGCCCGTTCTCGAATGCGTGGTCGGCCCCGAAGTACGCCGACCCCGTCGGGGTTTCAGGCGCGTGACACGACTCCTACCCCATTACCCTCCCCCCCACTCCACTGAAACCCAAACTAGCCCCCTTGCGGGAGAGAGTCTGGGCTCATCTGGGTGGGGTGGAGGGGGGTGGGAGCGGCTCATCTGGGGAGGGTAGGCTTGGGCCCCTTCAGACGGGCCCTGACGACCCAACAGTGCCAGGGAAAAGCCACGGGGCAGGCCAGCGGGCCTCCAAGACGACCCAGAGCTTCCCCTCAGCACGCGGAGTATGCACCACGTCCTCTTGGTTGCACCGCGAACGGGGGCGCTCGTGTTCCGGTACCGTCCAAGGGTGGAGGATGAGGGGGGAGGTGGAGACGGAGGACGGTTGTCAACTACACGGGGTCCATGCATGGACACACAAACGAGGATCAGGGGGAGGAGAAGGGCGGACGAGGAGGGGGGCAGGAAACAGGAGGCGGATGAATGAGGAGGGAGGACGAGGGAGGAGGCGGAAAGAGGGTGGAGGGGGGCGGAGGGGGAGCGAGGGGGCCGCTGGCCTCAGGGCCGAGGGTGGGCGAAGGGGGGGGGGGGGGCAGGCGGGGGCAGGGGGCCCAAGGCCGGAGTCTGGGCCTGCAGGCCTCGGGCGGTCGTGGGGACTCCGCAGCGAGCACCTGGCCACCACCGTGCCCGGCCAGGGCCCGCCCTGGGCCATCCCGTGGAGTGTGCGCCGTCCTGGCCGAGGCCACGCGAGGGTCAAAAGGTTGGCCCTGGCCACCCATGGTGGGGCGACGAGATCTGCACGTGTCCACCGCCCCCGGGACAGGTCCTCCCTGGGCCCAGGAGCGGTGCGCGTGCCTCCCTGGCCAAGCCAGGTGGGCGCGCACACCGCTCCTGGACCAGGCCTGGGCCAGGTGGGCGGGCCAGGCCTGGGCAGGGGGGGGGTACAGATCCCGTCGCCCTACCAAGGTGGTGGCGTGCAGGTGCCATCTGCGGAGCGGAGGGAGAAGAGAGCGAGGGAGCGGGCGCTGGTGCAGCAACGACGTCCTCGTAAGGAGGGTCGTTATTCGAACCGTCCTTTTCCTTGTCGGGCCGCCCCGCACGCGCACGCTCCAAGCTGCTCGGAAACGAAACGGAGGGGGGCGCATGTCTGAGCCCAGACTTGCGGGTCCTCGGACGAGGAGGTGGGAAGGAGGATTGGCCAGGGGAGGGGCGGCACGGGTCCAGACAACACCTCACCAAGAGGCATTGGACAACTCGACGCCGGTCCGTGTGGGGGGACCGCCAGGCTGCGGAGATGAGATCTCGGAAACGGAGCAGCTCGGTTCGTAGCAGTAAGGCCGTGCAGTCCATGCGAGCTTGTGCCACCACTCTCTGTACAACCCGTCCAGTGCTGCGAAGCTGGCCCTGCCTCTTCGCCGCTGTTTGGGCTCGGAGGCGAGTCGGCGCCTTTTGGAAGTAGCACGCGCGAGACCGAAAGAGAAGTCCTCTGGCTGCCCGCAACTCCCCGCCCGGCGTCCACGGAGCGACCGAGGTCTGAGATGGCCGACCGCGATTGAGAGCAGCGAACTGATCATACAATACGACGGCAACGTGGCGAGGAAATCTCCGGCCTAAACAGCGGTTGACAGTGCGTGAGGCCGCGATGGCTTGAGAAGAGGGCAAGGACGATGAGGAACAGGTGCTCCCAGCGACGCTCCAGACGTGACGATGCTCAGCTGGACGGCCAAGCAGGTGGTGGCGGCGGCAGAGGCGGGTACGTCCCCCCGCCGACCACCAAGGACTCGCCGCTGGAAGAGCCGAGAAAGAGCATCCGACGGCTGCGAGCGTGGAGCAGAGTGCCGCTCTTGTGCGAACATCCCGGCGGAGACGACAGAGGCCCACGCCCACTGGGCGGTCCTTGAGTCGACAGATGCGCAGGTTCGGAGCGTAGCGGCGTGCCCTGGGACACCCAAAACGTCGACGGACGCGACGGCGTGGAAGCGAAATCGGGGCCCTGAGGCCGAGGCCCTACCCAAGAATGTGTGCGGAAGTACTCCGCGTTCGAGGAGGCCTAACTTCGCGCGTCCAGCCCCGCGATGCGTGACGCGTGACCATCTTCGAGCCCTCGCGCGCCCGCGCCACCCCCGTTGGAGAGGGGCAGCTGCTCTGGCCCGGGCCGCGACGCGCGAAGCGCAGTTATCTTTGCGTCCCCGCGGGTGACCTAGAAATTCGAGGAGGCGAGATTCGGCACCGAGGAAAAGCAGAGCGAGGCAATCCAGCCGCACTCCGAGAGGGTAGCGAAGACTCCCTCCCAACCGACGGCGCTTCGCGAGGTCTGGCCAGACCGCGCGCAGGTGCTCCTTCTTGCTGCGTCAGGCCGAAGCTGGACCACGCGAAGAGGATGACCGTGGGTCGTGCAGACGAAGCGACCTGGGTCACCTCACTTCGCACATCGCGCCCCACGGTGTGCGACGCGCGGCCACCTTCGCGCCCCACTCCCGGCCCGGACCGCGACGCGCGAGGTTTAGTGATCCTCACGCCCCCGCGGGCGGCCTCGACCCTGCAGACGACGAGATCCCCGAACTGCCGAGGAGACCCGAGAGACCCTGGCTGGCCGCAGGGACGACCACGGCCTGAAGAGGACGCGGCGCGGGCGGGAGAACCGTCGAGGGGCCCGCTCGGGGCCTTCCGCACGGACGGCGGCGTTCCTCTGCCCACCGGCCCTGTGGGGAGGCCTGCACACCGGGGAGCGGATGGCCGGCCGCGATGCCCTCGCCGGAGGGCCCCGGCCCTGCGCGGCGACGTGCTGGCCGACGGGGAGATCCTGGACAGGGAGGCGGCGCACGCGCAGCCCGCGGCGTGGCGAGCGCCCCCCCCCTTTGCGGGGAAGAGCGGCTGGGAGGGCCAGGGGCGTCCAGGGACGTGGCCGCCACGGAGAGGGCGGAGGCAGGGGGGGCCGCGTTGAATCCCACGGGTCGGAGGGCGCCAACTACACACCCACACCGATGCTGGCCAGGCCCAGCCAGGATCGGTTGGGATGTACAACTGAAGCCCTGCGAACGGATGCGGTGATCGCGGGCCCCAAGGCGAGCGGCAGCAAAGGCGGACGGCATCAATCGGAGGACGCGGCGCACTGGAGGCGGAAGGAATACCCCGAGGCCCACCAAGGCCGAGAGCAGAGACGGGGGCTGGAGCAGCGAGCACGCGACGACCGCCCTGCCAACTCGAAGATCGATTTCGTGTTCCATGCTGCGGAGGAATCGGGCACACGCTGACTTTGCGGGCCCCAAGAATATACACCACCACCACCACCTTCATTTCTCCTCCCTCCCCTTTCCTCCTCTCCCTGTCCTCTTTCTTAGAAAAGGCAGGGGGGGTAAGGGAGGCGGTGGTGGTGTATACTTTCCCAGAAAAGGCGCTGGCCCAGGGTTCTCTTTTAGCTGTTTCCCCCCCGCCTCGACTTGCGTAGGGCCATTGAAAATATTCGGCGATAAATAACAAGGTCGCGCAAGGCCGGCGAACTAAGGTTTTGAGGATGTCCCGAACGAAACGTTTTGCATAAATTTGTTGAGGATATCTCTCGAGCGAAACGCTTGATTCTCCTTTCGGAAAAGAACCCCCCCCCGGCGTTATCCCCCATTTCGGGTATGTAAATCATACATGATTCTGACCACATGTCCATCCGAAATATGAATTTACACTATCCCAGGGGAGCCTGTATCGGCCCGCCTGAGGTTCCCTTGTAAAAGAAACCATACGCGGGGACATCTTTGGTTCTAACATACGACTTGTTCACGAATCCCTTGAAAAAAACAGGACGCAGTGCACACGCGCGCGTCGTCGCGCGCGCATGCCGAAATCCTTCAAAAACCTTCGGTGTCGGAAAGATTTCGCAATCGAGTTTCCCCCCAATCGAGGTTTCGCAACACTGATTTGCTAAAAAAGCTTACGCGCGAGCTCTTGCGGAATCTTGAGAAAATCATTAGCTTTGCAAGAGTTTCACAAAATGCTACCAAACGGGCTTCGCGCGCGCGCATGTCGAAATCTGTCGAATGCCCTTGCGCTTGTGCCGTCGCGAGAATCCTCTGCGAAAAAAGAGACGAAGTGCAGACGCGCGCGTCGTCGCGCGCGTCTGCCGAAATCCTTCAAAACCTCTCAGTTTCGGAACGATTTCAAAATCGTGTCCAAAAAACCTACAAAAACACAAGGTTTCGCAACACGGATTTTCAACAAAAGCGTGCGCGCGCGCTCTTGCGTCGTCGTCGTCGTCGTCGCCGTCCTCCCTCCTCCCGCGTCGTCGTCGTCGTCGCCTACGTCGTCCTCTGTCTGTCCTCGTGTTCGTCGTCGTCGTCCTCTTTGGCGTCGTGGTCGTTTCCGTCGTCGTTGTCGCCGTGGTCGTCCTTCCTCCTCCTCTCTCGTCGTCGTCGTCGTCCGTCGTCGGCGTCTCGTCGTCGTCTCTCCTATGTCGTCGTCGTCGTTGTCGTCGTCGTTGTCGTCGTCGTCGTCTTCCCTCCTCCCTCATCGTTGTCGTCGTCGGCGTCGCCGTCCTTCCTCCTTCTTCGTCGTTCGCGTCGTCGCCGCCCTCCCTCCTCCCTTGCCGTTGTCGTCGTTGTCGTCGTTGTCGCCGTCGGCGTCCTCCCTCCTCCCTCGTCGTCGTCTTGTTGGCGACGTCGTCGTCGTCGTCGTCGGCGTCGGCGTCGTCGTCGACGTCGGCGTCGTCGTCGTCGCCGCCGTCGTCGTCGTCGTCGGCGTCGTTGACGTCGTCGTCGTCGTCGGTGTCTTCGTTGTCGTCGTCGTTGGCGTCGTCATCGTCGTCGTCGTCGTTGTCATCGTCGTCGTCGTCGGCGTCGGCGTCGTCGTCGTCGGTGTCGTCGTCGTCGTCGTTGTCGGCGTCGTCGAAGTCGTAGGAGACGTCGTCGGTGTCGTCGTAGTCGTTGTCGGCGACGTCGTCGTCGTCGTTGTCGCTGTCGTCGTCGGCGTCGCTGTCGTTGCCAAGTGCCATTTGGTACCCACCGTCGCGGTCTTAAGAGATTT